GGACGCCTTAAAGGCGCAGCGCGCAGGCCTGCGTCCTCCGACAGAAACGCCGGCTCCGCCCGCGCCCGCCCCCAGCGCAGCTCCCCCGCCGCTGCTGTCCTTATTGGGGGTTCGGGGGCGGGAACCTCCTGCTTCTCCGCGCCCTGGGCTCACAGCGTTAAACCCGAAGGGGGAAGTGAGTATCCCGCGCTACCCAACCCCAGCCACCTGTCTCCAGGAGCCAAGGGCCGAGCACGGGCGCTTGCGGGGTTCCCCACGTGGCTCCGGTTGCAGAGCGCAGAACCCAGTCACGCGTCCCGGCCCCTAAAGAGCTCACCTGGGGCGACCGAGAGGGACTGGAACCCAAGGCGTCACAGTGCCACACTGCGCCGGCAGACTTCGTGGAGGCATTGTTTCGTTTACTGAGCACCTACTGTGTGCTTGGTGCTGCTGGCTGGGCACCGTCTGCCGCAGTGACTCTGCCACCTAAGGGCTGAGAGAAAGAGCGAGCGACAGGCAGGTCCACAGGCAAGCAAAGCAACGTTAAGTTACACGGGTTGTCCCATTTGATCCAGGAGGTTGGCATTGCGGTTGACTTCCTTTCTCAGAAGAAAGGCGAGGGGCTTGCCCACTGGTTCAGCCTGTAAAGGACAGAACTGGGAGTTCCAACCGGGGATCGTCCGACTCCAAAGCTCGGGGGGCAAAATGGCCATCTGGAAAGGCCTTTCAACCACCACTAGTTAAATCCCCACTATGGTCATTTCTTCTTTTTAAGGACAATTAAACCCCACTAGGCAAAAAAGGAGGGAGGGGAGCATAACATTTATCACTCATTAAATGTAGTGGTGTGCTCTGACTAGCTTAGATCTGCCTCAAAGCTGGGTTTTTGAGCACTTGACCTCAGTTTACCACTTCAGCCTCATCTCCTAGTATCCCAGGGGCACCCAGGCTGCACTAGACCATCTAGGCTTTTCCCTGGCCTGGTCCTTCCACCAAGAACTCTCTTTCTTTCCTTCTTGGCCTAGCTACTCCTTCCTCTTTTCTATGTCTTAATATAAATGTCACTTCCTCCAGGAAGCCTTCTGTAAATCCCCTATGGGCTCATACTGCATTGGGAGCTTCTTCCATCAAACTATCTGTGCACTCAGTTAACTAATATTTACTGAGCACTCACTATGTTCTGAGTACTGTGTGAGGGGGTTTCCTGCTGTGCTGAGAGCTGAGTCTGTGGCTTGTCTGCCTTTCACTCCAGACCTAGATAGGACCAGTGCCCAATAGGACTCTTTTGGCCATCTCCAGGTTGGCAAGTCTGGTTGGGAAGGTCCTGGGTTTTAAGAATTGGACATGGACAAGCCCTAGTGATATGGCAAAGGGGCGTCTCTGAGACCACTGGTGACTACCCTATAAAATCTGCCTCTGTCAGGGCTACTAGAATCCAGCCTAATTTGGGATAGTCTCTCTGGTTTAGGCCAGAGCATCTTCCTCTAAGATGTTGGCCATCTCATCACTCAGACTTCAAGAGCTGCATTTGACTCATGTCCTGGAATTGTTCTCAGAGCTTCAGTGAATTTAAATTTACTCATTAAAAGGCATGTTGTGCCCAGCCGGTGTGGTTGAGCATTGACCTATGATCCAGGGGTTTGATTCCTGGTCAGGGCACATGCCTAGGTTGCAGGCTCGATTCCCAGTAGGGGGTGTGCAGGAGGCAGCCGATCAATGACTCTCTTATCACTGATGTTTCTATCTCTCTCTCTCCCTCTCACTCTCCCTTCCTCTCTCTGAAATCAATAAAGACATATTTAAAAAAAAAAACAGAAAACTGACCAGCTTTTCAATCCCTACAAACCACTTAGCAATCTTAGGCTCAGGGCGCAGTCATCGAATAGGAGTTGACGGGGTGAATAAATAAGTGAATGAAATGCATGAATGACTTCCCAGAAGGCCTACCCAGAAGCCATCAATAAACCTTACCTGGTGTATTAGCAACTCGAAAACAATTTTTAAATTAAAAACAGTTTCCTCTCCAAAACCTTAAAAATGTACAGTTCATCTTTTTAAAAAAACTCATAGCCTGTGGCCTCAGGGGCCTCCTAGGGTCTAGAGTTTCTAAATCTAGAGACTTTCCCCACTAGTTTTATATTTTGATACACTGAGTTGAGCCCAGGTGGGAATCACATTCTCTGTGACTCTTATCCACCTGTTGACTGACAAGAGAGAAACCTTAATTAGCTCCCATTTCACAGTGAAGCCAAGGAGGCAGGCGGAGATGAGGGGACTCACCTGTAGTCCCTCCCTGAGTCAGTAATGCCCCAATCTATGTCACTAAAGAGTCGGGTGGGTGGGAGGTCAGGGAGCAGTCCCAGGGGCCACCCATATTCTTAATGGCACCTTCAATCATCCCAGATAGAGACTCCTTATTATCTGACAGGCCTCATCCCAGCATTAGAAAGGAGTTCTGGACCCTCTCGTCTGCCAGCAGGTGCAGCAGAGCACCCCAGGCTTGGCCCTGCCACATCTGTGAAGATCTGGACTCAGCAGCATACCAGTCAGAGCTGAGTGGTGCCAATGGTCACCACTGTTTAAGGCACACTTATTATCTGATGGACACTGCATCATCTCAGTTCTCATAACCACCCTGGGAGATGTGCTAACCCACTTTACAGATGGGAGCACTGAGACACAGAGAGGTTAACTGACTCACTCAAGATCCCATAGCCAATACATGGTGGGGCCAGCAATCAAAGGAGTTTATTCATTCATTCAACATTTCTAAGAACCCACGACATGCCAGGTACATTTCTGGTGAACAAAGACACACACCTATTGCCCTCAAGAATTTAGAGTCTATTAATAATAAGAAAATATTAGAAACTATTTCATCATGGATCACACACAAGTTATGATGGAATCATGAGTAATAACAAATACTAAGGCCATGTCAGCACATGGAAATGCATGTAGGAGAAAAATGAAAAACACAGTATGTGTACTCAGCTATCAGCTGGCAGCATTCCTCGGCCTATGAGTCATTTGTATGATTGATTCTCCAAGCATTTACTGCATGGCAACTGTGAGCCAACCACTGTGGCCAATGTGCAATTCAAATGTCACCCCCTGGCACAGCCTTCCCCAATTACTTACGAAAAATTAATTGTTCCAGCATCCATACCCGGTAGCACATTGTATACAATGATTTATTTATTCATTTTGGTGACTCTTGACCCCACTTAGTTGTGGACTCTTTCTTCACCTCCATATCCGCAGGGACCAGCGTGATGAGTGGCACAGATGGAGCAAGTGTTAATTGGTTGCTCTGTGTCGAGACTTTCCTGTGTACCTCACCTTGTGCTCAGTGCTTTACATGCATTATCTCATTGAATCCTTCCAACCGCTCTATGAGGTGAGTGTTATTATTAGCCCCATTTTACAGATGAGGAAACTGAGACTCAGAGAGGTTAAATAACCTACCCAAGGCCACATGACTAGTAAGTGATACTGTTAGAATCCAAACCAAGTTGTGTATGTCTGAACACAAAGTCTACATTCTAACCACTAAGATGCCCACTGCCATAACCAGTAATGGAATTAATATGAAAGATTCAGCAAAGCCTGA